AATTGGGGGAAGGAGAAGGGGAGAAAAAGGGAGGGAGATGGAGCTTGAAATCACATTCCTTGCATGTATTATTATTTTGTCAAAATAAACCCAATTACTATGTATAATTATGGTCTTTTAATTAAAAAAAAAAAGGAAATGAAAAAAAAATGTCTTTCCATTATATCCTCTTTTATAACTGAAGTAAGCAGGCCAGATCTTCTGAGTCCAGGGTTTTTAAAGAACTGAAGCCTCCTTTGGAACAGCTGAATATTTAGTTTTACCTCAGTATCCACAGGGGATTTGCTCCAAGACTCCCAAAGATGCAAGTCCCTTACATGAAATGGTGAAATACTTGAATATAATCTATGTACATCCATCTTCACACTTTAAATTAACTCTATGTTATTTTGCAAAATCGAACACAATGTAAATGTTATCTAAATAGTTGTCATATTATAATGCTTAGGAACTAGTGATAGGGGGAAAAAAAGTCCCTACATGTTTAGTATGGTGTTAGTCAGTGTTTGGTGACTATGACAAAATACCTGAGATAATTAACTTACAGGAGATATGGTTTATTTTGGCTCATGGTTTCAGAAGTTTCAGTCCTTGGATACTTGACCCCAGTTGCCTTTGAACCTATGGTGAAGCAGAACATCATGGCAGAGAATGCTTGGTAAAACAAATGTGCTTACCTCATGGCTGCAGGAAAACAGAGAGGAAGGATGAGGGTCCCAATATCATCTTTAAACGTCCATCTGCAATGACCTAACTGCCTTCAGTTAGGCCCCATTTCCTATAGGTTCCTCCGCCTCTCAAGAGCACCAGAGGTTGGGGACATAGCCTTCAACACACAGGCTTTGGGGTATCATTTAAGACCCAAACTGTAACAAGTAGTGATGGTTATTTCCCCAATATTTTTAATCCAGAGTTGGTTGAACCTACAGATGTGGAACCCACAGAGATGGAGAGCTGAGAGGGCAAACTGTGTATCCTGATCCAGTTACTTCTCGGCAGCTTACCGACCCTTCCAGGTCTTATTGAAAATGTTCCCAGTGAGTCTGCTGTTCTTTTTATTCTTCCCTATCTTTTTCTCAAATGAGAGAAGTAAGCCTAGTGGGGGGATATAACTCAGTTGTTAGAGTGCTTGCCTCACATGTACAAGGCCCTGGGTTCAATCCCCAGCACCACACACATACACACACACACACACACACACACACAGAGAGAGAGAGAGAGAGAGAGAGAGAGAGAGAAAGAGAGAGAGAGAGAGAGAGAGAGAGAGAGAAAGAGAGAGAGAGAGAAGTGAGCCTAGAGATCTTAAGTAAATTATTTAAAATCACAAAAAAACACACTAAATCTAGATTCTAACTCAAGTCTCTTTGATTCCAAATTTTGTGAAAAATCACACTATTTCTTTTGATTTTCAAAGAGGTACTTTACGGAACCTCCCTCCCTGCGCACCTGACATTATAACCCTATGAGCATATATGATTACATGACCAGTGTAATACTACATCATGTACAACCAGAAGAATCAGAAGCTAAACTCCATTTATGTATATGTCAAAATGCATTCTACTGTCATATATAACTAATTAGAGCAAATTTTTAAAATTTTTTTTAAAAAAACTACTGAATCACAGATGGAGGGAGGGGGGCTAAAATTTTCTTACTCCGGTATCCAAGAAAAAATCTTTATGCTTCCAGGTTACATGGAATATTAAGAACCACTTTCCTACCTTCTGAAACAGTTGGTGATAGAATCTCTTTGAATAAGCACAGAACATCAAGGATTATTTTGGGCTGGGGATATAATACTTGTCTAGCATGTGCAAGGCCCTGGATTCAAGCCTCCAGCACAGGAAAAAAAAAAAAATTACTTCAAATTCCCTTAGATCCTGAACATGTCCTCTTAATCTCCGTGTTGTTCTTACAGATAAAAGCAGGTAGGTGAAGGAAGGTGCATTAAGTGTACAGATGGGTGGCAAAGAAATTATATTTGTTCTTCCTGAACAAATGAAGGTTACGTCAAGTCAAAAAGAACTGCACACTTACAGTTATTTAAGAACTGTGCATTGAAAGAGTGATTTTTACAGTTCTGTCCCAATGTAAGCATCTGCCTCTGTGGGGAATTGGTGAAAGGCAAGCAGGCCAGAAGGAAAGAATGGAAAATAATTAACTGAGCAACAACATAAAGTAGAAGTGAAAAACTTGATGGAAAAAAATTATATGCCAACAGAACAGAGTAAGCAAGAGAGGAAATAAATAAAAGACCAAAAAAAAAGCTATAATGAGGTTCTGACTAGTATCAGAAAGGTAAGCCACTCTTTTTTATGTACTCTGATAGTTTGTCTTTTAATCGTTCTTTTGGGTTGGTTCTTTTTAATGGTGTGTCTATGCGTGTGTGTGTGTGTGTGTGTGTGTGTGTGTGTGTGTGTGTGTGTGTTGAAAGGTAGAATTTGCTCTGAACGTCAAGGCAGTTTCAGCACTTGAAAAAGAAAGCAACTGAATAGATAGCAAGCAAAATATAGTCTTTATTATTCTAAGCTAAAAGAGATTTAAAAAAAAATGTTTAAAAAAGAAAAAAAGCATCCTTTGGGGAAATTTGCATACTAGTCAGACTTGGGTGCTCTGCAGTGGGTGGTTCCGGCTGAGAGGGAGCTCTATTCTTGGATGTCTGTGCTGAGGCAGAGTGGGGCGGAAATTGTTCACTGCTGCTTCAGGACCTCATAGTCATCTCTTTCAGTGGGGTTCACCTGTCAAGTCACTTTTCCCAAACCTGTGCAAAAGGCTCCCGTAATTAGAGGTGTCATCCCTATGCCTTGGCAAAGCTCAAAGCTGGGCTGTTTCCGTCAAGAAGATACTGAAACACAGTCTGTGTCTTCCACTAAGAGGAAGGTTTTCTTAAAATGCATGCTGGGGAATTCCTTCCGCCCTTCTTTCTCTCCTTCCTTCCTTTCTTTTCTTCCTTTATTTATTTTTCTTTCCCCCTTTTTTTTTTTTTTTTGTTAACAAAAGTGTGTTACAAGTGAACCTATTTTCCTCAAGGTAAAACAGGTGTCTTTTTTTCTTTGAGCAATAGCTTGAAGTACTGACTTTTTGGTCGTGTGGCTCTTAAACACAACCCAATCGACAGTAAGAATTTATTGTCTAATTACAAGCCAAGAGTCTTTGGGGCCTTTTTAAACATATTTTGTCCTTGAATAAACTCATAGCTTAAAAAAAACAAAGAACAGTGAAGACACCAATCATAAGCCTTTCTTTCTAGTGTTTGGAACTCAGTCTTTAAGTTTTTTAAAAAATTAATCAGGATATCTGTATGTTTTAGAAAGTAGATTCTTTTTAAGCGTTAGTTTAAGTTTTTATATTAAGGACTTCAGAGTTGCCTGTAGACCAACAATATCTTGCTTTAATTATCTGAAACTCTGCTTGAGGATTAGTGTAATATATGTAAAAAGCATATTTAAAATGAGAATTCCCCAAAACAGCATTTTTATTAAGAATCTTTAACTGTTAGTCTTTTAATATCTGGATGATATAAGAAAAAAATATGTTAAGAAAGCAAATGTGAATGTTCTCTAAATGATTCTAAATCCATGCCTATTAACTCATCCTTTTACCATTTGTCATTTTAACACATTAACCTAAGAGAGTTAAAAGAAATAGATGCATTAAAGAAGGCATTGAATTTAATATATTAATATTAAAAGTGAATTTTTCTGAATCCAGAGGAAAACTCAGGCTAAATATAAAACTACCTTAAAGAAAACAAAATAAGGATCAAATGTGATGTTTGCACCTTAGAAAAATATGAAGATCGAGTGTTTATTAGATATATTTTTACATGATTTTTCTATTTCAATATGTATAATTGCACTAAGATTTTTTTTAAGATCACTGCTCTTTTTCAAAAAGATATTCCCTATGTGATTCTCCTAAATATGTATGTTAGTAAACATATATGACTCCAGAATGAAAATTGCTCTTAATAAACCGGAGACTAAGAAAAACTTGGAGAATTATGCTAAATCAATGATTCTCTGAACTTAGAGATTTTATATACCAATAATACCTCTGTCATTAAAAAGACAGAAAGCATATAGGCACATGATAAAGAATAACTTATTTTAAAAATCAAAGATATATACCTTCATGAAAAACTTCCCATATTAACCTGTTTACTTCTACATTAACAGATAAGGTACAATGAAAATCAATATCCTAACCAATGAGCCATCCCTGAGTCCACTATCTGCAGCATTAGAGTAAAGTCATATCTGTTAGGAATTAAGCCTCCTTACATAAGAATGTACAAGAAAGCTCACCTGACATCCCACAGAGCTTCAGTGTGCTGCTGTTTGGTATATTTTAAAATTACTTCCTGAGCATCCAGTTTTCAACATTGTAAGTTAGTTAAAACAAAGCTCCAAACATCTACATTGTTGTCCTCAAAAAGCAGAATAGAAATCAAAAGGATGAAGATTTATCTCTTTGATCCTGAGACAAAAAGTTGGATAACATCAAATTTGCAAATTTTATAAACCTTATAGATTGTTCTCACAAATGAAATTTGCTGTGTCAAAGATAAGATTTGCGTCCCAAGAGCCAGCTTTGACAGTGGACTTTAATTAATGTTTCAATAAAAATGTGGTATTTCAGTATGCCATGAAGTTTCATTTAATGAAAATTAAAGTTCCAGACTGCTTTATGAGAACAGACTTTGGGTGGCACTTCCGTTCTTGGCTTTGTCAGAACTTCATAATTTACTCAACCAAGGCAGCTAAAGAATTGTCTAGATCTTGTCAGCACCAGACAGTTGACCACTATTCCCTTATGTCTGCTAGACCTGGGCCTTAACCCCACTCAGGAGTGTCTCTAACGCAGGCAAATGATGTTCCTGATTAGTGCCTGTGTGGCCCTTGCTGCAATGGCTGGTCTTCTTTAGGGTTAAGGCCAAATGGGGCCCCTAGGATGTTTGGCACAGCCCAACTCTTGGGGACTTGGGTTCATCCCCATCATGCAGAGGTAGTGTTCCCTTCAAAGCAGAGGAACGAACCTGGTAACTGCGAACACGAAGATTTAGATCCCTCCTTGCAGTCTTCACACTGGCACCCTGCAAGTGTGAGACCCTGGAGCCCTTTGTTCTGTGTGGAGAAGGACATGCCTAAGTTCATGAAGCAAAATGTGGTAAGTTCCAAACAGTCTGACATTTCTGATGAGTGCGACCTGTGCACTGCCTTCCCTTCATTTTAAATCATTCATGAGGAGGGAACTATCTAGGTTAATCCAAAATTAACATGGGAGCCCAACACTGTTCCCTTTCTGGTTGAGCCAGTCACTCCCACATGTACATTTTCTGCTGAATGCACAGTTTCAAACTACACCGTCTTTTTATTTCCCCCCTGAAGTATGTAAGATTAATGCTATAGATCACATTTAGGTTAAAATTTTGTTTTAAATATCTTGGTGACCACATTTCTGATACTACTTAATTGCTTGAGCACCTAAGAGAAAACAGAAAAATAAATACATATAGCTCAGACTTTAATTTTCCTCTACCCTACCCAACAGTGCTCTATGTATAAATAACTATATCCCTAACCAGCGATTTATAATAATAAATGCTAACCAAAGAGGCTGAAAATATCACCTATTACTTCCATCAAACACATTTTTTTTTTTGGCAAGAAATGCATGGCATTTAATATTAGTAACTATCAGTTAAAATATTTAAATTTTGAAAATAAAACTTTTAATTTAAAATTTTTAAAAAATGAGTAATTATATTAAGACTGAAGCAGTTTTCTCCCTACCCCCAGCACCCTATCCCCAAGTGACTTCATATATTTCAGGGCACATCAGTAATCATCTGGACATTCCCCTGCTGTTTTCCTTACTTAAAACAGTTGCTTGGTGGTCAATGTATTTACATAGTTCATGTGTGCTGTGCTTTCAAGCATTGAGAGTTCAAATTTATTTCACATAAAAGCAAGAACCCAAAGTGCCAAAAGGTGATCATGGGCATGAATTGAACCCAGCAGATATAATATTTGCCTATGACTCAGTTTCGCCATTTGTTTTCCCAGTTGTCACCTATTGGCAACATCTTAAACGTGGTACAGACTACAGACTACTCAGAGAGGATATCGTTTTCCTGTTTTATTTCTCTATATGTAATATAAGCCATAGGAGTGGAACCAGGTTCATTCATGCCCACAGAGTTCATGTGCATACCTGGGCACTGACTAAGTCACTGCCTACACCAATTCTCCAGCCTTCTGCACCTGTGGCATAGATGGAACCTGAGCACACAGCTGGTCCCTATCCAAGAACTGGAGGTAGCATCACGTCCATCCATGGTATACATTGTGACCAGACACATCCACAAACTACCAAATATTTCAGAAGTCAAAGGTGCCTTGCCTTAGAGGTTATAAAGTCTGTGCCCTCCTATAGGTGAAGCCAGGAAGGTCTGTGGAGAGGTGGGAACTGACTTATAAGCCACGCTGTCAGTGTCAGAACTGGGTCAGAGATCCAGCCACCATGAAGGCCAGTTCCAAGCTTTCACTCTCACTGCCTGCCTTGGTCCCCTTTCCTGGCCATCATGATATAACAAAAACAGAAGGGAAGAGGGATTGCACAGAATGCTTATCATGGCTTTCTCATTTATATATTCATATGGTGTTTCTACAAGATCTTAGTGTTCTTTTCCTCACAGTTTTCAAGATCAGATCTATTTATTATTCTTTAATAACTTTGTACAAAATATTTGTTCTTTCTAAGTAAAGTTATTATACCCATGTTTCATAAGATGCATATATATAGATAGGACATTTTCAGCTTAATTTACCAGCACTGACCCAGCTACTTTGAAAGGTAATGGTGCTGGGCAATAGTGGCACATGCCTGTAACCCCGGGGAATGGGAGGCCCACTCAGGAGGATCACAACTTCAAGGCCAGCTTTAGCAACTTGGAGACTCTGTCTCAAAATAAAATAAAAAGGACTGGGGATGTAGCTTGGTGTGTGAAGCACCTCTAGGTTCAGTCATATTTATATATATATTTGACATATATGTATAAATATATATGTGTGTGTGTGTGTGTGTGTGTCAAAAAATTTGAGGATCTTACTTTAAGCTTCCATACAAAAAAAAAATGTTGAGGGGGGGAGGGAGCGGAGAAAAAAATACCCATACAGTGCTGTTCTTTAACGAGGTAATTTACCGAGGGGAGGTCAGGAGGGGGGAAGTAAAAGAAAACCAGCAGTCTTTCTAACTTCTTTTTAATTGTTTAACTTTATTACTGTTGCACCATTTATACAATTACATATAATTTCAATGCATCCATTGTACATTTTTTTATTTTTTTATTTTTTATTTTTTTTTCCATTTTCCAATGAGTGGTGTGTTGGTGTCTGTGACACAGAATGAAGAGAAACTGGAACTGCAATGAACGCAGACTTTTTTTTTTTTTCATTTCCACTGACCAATAAACAGAACTACAGGTGCACCCAACCACGGACATGCATTAACTCGTCATGAGAAATCTAGGTAGGCTAAGTACGATGAGAGAATGTTTGTTACTCCCAAAAATTATCTGGAGAGGAAGAATGGAGGGTTGGCATCGAGATACATATGGACAAGCTAAGTGGGCTCCGTCTGAAAGTTGGCATTCATCCACAACATTAAAAAAATATCAAAATAAGAAAGGCTGTAAATTAAAAAGAAAACACAGAAAATACTGCTTTCCTAAAGATCTGATTGCCTTGGCACAGGCCCTGTGGGCAGCATCAAACGCCCCACTCCCAACTCCCAGGCAGAAGCGGAGAGACTGGGCTCCTAGCGGTGGAGTCGTGCGTGCGCAGCAGTTCACGTACGAACCATGTACTGTACTTTCAGACGCTCATCTTCAAAATCCAGGACTTATTGGTAAAGTTGACTGAAGGTATATTAGATATTTCCCCACAAAAATACTATTTGGATTCTCCCACCCCCTCCCTCCCTCGATGGGACAGCATCCTTTTCCCCCCTTGGGCAATACATATCCTTACTTCCGATTTGAAACAAGTTAGTATAGGAGAGAGAGAGAGTGAGAGACAGTGTGAGAGACAGAGAGAGAGAGAGAGAGAGAGAGAGAGAGAGAGAGAGAGAGAGAGGGAGAGGCTGTTTGTAAGTGGCATTTCCCTAGGCGTCCCGGTTACTCTTTCACGGCCACGCTCTGCTCGGCAGCTGGGGC